TGGGGATCGCGAACGCTTTAGTTGATTAGACTTTTTCTATATTCCCTCCTGCAATTTTTTCCACTGATTAAAATGTCTTTAAATACACTTTAACATGAATTCAACAGACTGTAGTAAACAGATAAATGGAGGCAGAAGATGTCTTTCAGTCATCAATGCTCACATTCAGCGACACACAGGAGCTCTTTCAAGCTGGGCACCGTTTCAGGAAAACAGGAAAAAGACCCCCATCTAAACCATTCCATTGCAGCTCTAGCTGGGTGTACAGTAGATTTTTTTATTGTCATTCCACTGTCACAAGTACAGCACAACAAAATGAACTCTCTGCATTTAACCCATCCTCTTAGGGAGCAGTGGGCTGCCATTGTGTGGCGGTTAGGGCTCTTGCTCAGGGAGCCAGAGTGGCAGTCTGTGGGAGTGGGGCTTGAACTCAGAACCTCTGGATTCCAAGCTCTATGCTCTAACCACTAGAACGCCACTCCCCCGGGTATGCCTCCACACGTTCTCTTCCATGAATGTTTTGTTTCTTCCACCATCCATCCTCCTTAGCACTCAAACCAGCAGCAATGTCCCCATGGCACAATGCTGCCACCACTGTGTTACACTGTGGATGTTATGTGTTCAGGGTGATGTGCAGTATCCTCACATGTAGCATTTTTTTTATGTCCTTCCTCTTCATGAGCAAAGCATCTTTTTCAAAATTTACTGCATCCCTTCATGCAAACTGCAGACAAGAATGTCTTATCTTTTTTTTTTCACCAGCTGATATTTCTTCTAAATAAATGCTCATACAAATCAAATACAGCTTTAGTTCATCTAAAAGGGGTGTGTTAAATTTATGTGGTTCCCTGGCAGACAAAAACTGTATGTCCAAAAAAAAACAAAAAACCCAAAACATTAGCTTCTAAATGTAGAATCCCATTATGTGGTAAATCTTAAAAGCTATTCTACCCTCTTGTATTAGAGGTTCTTCAGTGGAACCACTAATGGATGTGAGGACTGATTAGAAGAGCTGAATCATACAAAACATCTAAAAATTGAGATTCCCCTATTTTTACTTCTTATAGCTTTGATAAGAATAAGTTCTAAAAAAAAAAGCAATCAGGTTGCTTCATTGTTGGTAAAATAACAATAAACTTATTTGTTTCAAAAGTCAAAGCTCTTTGGTTGATAAAATAAAATATTAAATTCAGTTTATTTCTATAGCATCAATTCACAACATGTCATCT